GCAAGAGAACCTGACTAGAACCTGGTAACTGAACCTGGCTGGAGAACCTGGACAGAACCTGGCTGGAGAACCTAGCGAGGGAACTTGGCTACAGAACCTGGCTGGAGAACCTGGAGAGCCTGGCTGGAGAACCTAGCAAGAGAACATGGACACAGAACTTCGCTGGAGATCCAGACCAGAACTTGGCTGGAGATCCTGGCTAGAGATCCTGGCGAGGCTTCTGATCAACTGAACGCTGTCTCCATGTCCTTCCTTCTTCGCCGACTCCGTCTACGCCTTTGGGAACCCCTGGACTCGCTGGGGTTGGACCCCGGCATTCTGCATTCACTGACGTGTCCCCACGTTGCCTGGCACACCCTGGGTGCCTTATGGATGAGGGGATGGATGAGGTGGTTGGTGTGGGAAACACCCTCAGAAATGACATATCAGAAACATCAAAAGGGATGGTTTCAAATTTGCCAAGAACATGTATCCAGCTCCCTGCTCCATTTTGCTGTGGGTCCTGCCCCCTTTCCCCCTTCCCCAAGCACAGCCCCGCCCTGCATGAGGTGTCACGTTGAGAGAGCCCTTCATTATTGCTGGACGTGGGCCTTATCCCCTAACAAGTGACAAGAAGAAAAACATGGGAACCGTTGTCCTCGGCCAGTGTTTGCCACACTTTTGGAACCTAGATTCCTAGAAGTGTATGTTACCTTGTGATCTATGTGCACCTGTGTACATGTGTACACACTTAGACGTTTCACAAAATATCACTCCCTCCAGGCATTTTCTTGTCTAGTCTATTTGGTTCTGTTCTGTTCCATTAAAACAGTGCCGGCTGTTAACCCATTACATGGATTTCATGGCCCGTTCGTGTGTCATAGTCCTCAGTTTGTGAACAGTGTTTAAGTTACGGTCAGAACTCACCACCTGGAGGAGACCCCGAATGAAGACGATGCCAGGCAAACCGCCAGGTGCTGCCGTGCAGGTCCATGAGCTGCCGGAGACGGCCCTGGGTCTAGCGCGCTCAGTAAAAATGAAAGTCACTATAGAGGTTAGATTGAGGATTTGATTTAGTAGTTGTTCTTATCTCTCTCTTTTTTAAACCATTTCTCACTAATCAGTTCTACAATATCGACTCTTCGTGTGTGTGTGTGTGTGTGTGTGTGTGTGTTTTCCCTCTTATGTACTGATGTTTTTATTGCTAACAGGGAGTTGTCTGCTATTCCCCAGGTGTTTTTTAGTTAAAAAACAAAAAAGGTTGGCTCCTTCATATCTTATTACTCATTTACCCCCTTTACTTTTTACATTAGTTTTTTTCAAACTGTGTGTAAAATATATATTTATATAATGTTTATATATAATATAATATAATATAATATAATATAATATAATATAATATGTATTTATATAATATATTTATATAATATTTATATATATATATACACACACATATATATATAATGTGAAAGTGTATTTATGAATGAAGATCTTTCTTCCCTTATGATTTTGAATTCCTTAACATTCAATGAAGCATGACCCACACAGTTATGGTAAAAAAAAAAAACCCCAACACAACCACCCATATTATTTAGATAAGATGCAGATACCTCTGAAAGCTCTTACTCTCAAACATACTGCACAACTGTAATAAAATTATAGCCTTTTCCCCTCCATTAAATGTAATTTTTCCTGACCTAAGAAATGAGCATTTTCTCCTGCATGTTTCCATCTGAAATGTTTTCAAGTCAACCTTCCTACAATTTTGAACCCTAGCATGAAAACAAGGAGAAGGCTTGTAAATAAGACCCAGTCATTCCTGCTTTCTGCTGTTTGCTCTCCGTTGTCAAGTCATTGGCAGGATTGACGAGATTGACAGTGATGCCCTGGGTGTGTCCTGAAGAGGTGCTGCTTTTGTTTAGTTTTGGCTCTTTGGAAATTCTGAGATCCTGAAATTAGTGACTGGTCTGTAAACACCTATCAGGTTTTCTGGCCCCTCTCACTATAAAATGCAGGACTTGACCAAGGTAGACACCGTTATGATCCAAAGCCCAGGCCGATGGCTGCATTGAATGAATGAACTATGACTATGCCCTGATGAAGTCTGCAATTAAACCTCAGCTTGATGATCACTGTACAAAGATTGGGCCAAAGAAAACTTCCAGCAGCTAGGTTACTGTGAGCCAGAATTGGCTTCCTGGGCAAGGGAGAGGTGCAGTAGAGGAGACATGCAGTGAGGGGTGCATAGAAGGCTGATGTAATAATAGAGGGGGCGGGGGGGGGGGGGCGGAGAGAGGATCTGAGAGAGTAGGAAAGCTCCTCCAAGTGAATTTCTTAAACTACACCCATAAGTAGACTGTTACCTTCTCCTGCCACCAGCTTGCTGGAGGCCCCGCCCACTGCCACTGGCAGTGTTTGGTGCTGCTTTCATGATGGACGGGTTTGGGGGAATCGGATGTGATTTACTGAAAGGCATTGCACAGCCAGCTCTGCTCTCTTCCTTCTGTCAGAAAAGAGATGGTCATGACGTCATCACCATTTATTGGGACCTGCAGGTGCTGCCCCTGTTCTAGGTGTTTCACAAGCCATCGCTGGCCTCCACCAGTCTCTCGGGCCTTTATTTTGCCAACAAGGAAGCCAAGGCTTTCTGTGGAACCATGGCTTGCTCAGGGCCGCACAGGAAATGTCGGGCTCCAGAATTTCTGTTTTTATTGTAAGTCCGCCCGCTTCTTGCACCTAGGTCAGTTACCTTGTGAAACGTTACCCCCACCCCAGCCCACCCCCATCCTGTGGTCTTCCCATTTGGTTTGTAAATAGTGTAGTAGTATAATCAACAAGCTACTTAGGTCAGGATTAGGAGAAACCACATTCTTGGCCTATTGTTATTTCCCTGGGATGGTCCATTGTCCTTCTTTGCTGGGTCATGTTTTTTCCCTGTAAGATTAACGGCCTAACTCTGAAAGCCGCCTTGATGAAAACAAAAGCCACTGGGTTCCCAGGGCTCAGATCACCTCTCTGCAGAAATGGTTGGGCTGCATGTGAGCCCGGGCCCTCCAGGTAGCTGGTTTGGGGCCTTGTGTTCAAGTGGATCAGAAAGGCAGGTCCCACGGGGCCCCCCATGGGTCTTGGATGCGGTCAGGGCAGGACCCCACTGCGCAGGAGTTGCTGGCTCTTGGGGGCGTTTGTGCTTTGCTTGGCATTATCCACATTCGGTAGTTATGGTCTACCCTGCCCCCTCTCTTCCTCCACATCCCGTAGCTTTTCGCTTTCTTCTAAAAAGCGAGTTGAGTACGTCTTTTCCAAAGAAAAGAACAGAGGGTCCACAGTAGATCATTTGGTGGCCTAACTGCTTTAACCATAAAGTCTCCTCAGTTCCCTGCACTCAAAGCATGTCAGACCCGTGGCCGGCGGGCCACATACCTCGTTTGTGGCCCACCAGCCGTGAGTTTGACATGCATGCTCTGGGCTTGGAAATGGACACATGAAAGAAAAGGCCACAAAGGGATGTCGGATTTTCCCAAGTTGAAATCTTCGGCATCTTTACACAGCGGGGTGATTGAACTGGGAACTTGGGTCTGATGGACCTGTGTTGGGGGTCAGGGCTGCGCCTGGGAGCGGGTGACTGGGGTGACGGGCTCCCGCTTCTGACCTTGGCCTTGAGCAGTTCCCTGCCCTCAGCCCACCAGCAAGAGTTAATTGCGGCTCCCCTGCTTGCTGATGGTGCTGCTAGTAAAGAATTCTAATGCATTCTGTGAATAAGTTTGTAAGGAAATGATTTGGTGAACTGACTGAAATACACATATTTTTAAGCTTCTTTAAAGATTTTCAGACTCACTTATTTTCCTCAGAGATTTTCTTGGGCTCCCCCACCCACTCCCCAGTAATAGTTAAGCAATTTTCTTGTTTGCTCTCTAAATCTTCCTGGAGTACAATAGTTCTGAAAATAAGAGAGTCCGTTGGCTGGAAACATGGGGTGGGCATGGGTTTATGTAATTTGACTTCTTTTCTCTCCAAATCAGTAAATATTTACAAATGACCTTATCAAACAGCCCGGGTACATTCGGTCACTTGAAAGCAGGCGGAGCAGGACTGCCCATCGGCCAGCTGCCAGTCCCATGGGCCCTCGCGGGAGAGACTTTTTTTTTTTTTTAAATCGCCGTCCACAGACCAAAAGCCTCCCACAGAAAGTGGGCCTCAGCAAGTCTTTCTCATTCCATGTAACCAGTTTTATAAAATTTGCATTTTAAAGTTGGACTTCTAAAGACAACCCTGTTAGGCCTGGAGCAGAGCGCTGGGAACAGAGGAATCGGGAGATAAATGCAGGCTGGCTTAGGTTTACCGCAGCCCTGGTTCTTCTGTTTCTCGGGGGAGAATTACAGAATTCCACTTCAAGCTTAAATGTCATACTTTTGCGAGTTAGTAGGAAAAAAGGAGCAGATTACTTTTCTGGCTTGCAAAGTAGTACCGTGTAACAGGGTTTAAAAACAACAACAATTCTTGTTTTTCTAAAGCGGAGATGGAGAGGCATCCTTAGCCCACATTTTCTTTCACTGTTTCAAATCTGACATTTAAAATTCATTTTTAGAAGAGAATGAATACGTGTTCTTCAAAGTTGACACTGAAAAATAGTAAAGGAATCTAAGTGTTTTTGGCCGTTAAGATATGAACACGACAATATTACTGTCTCAGCCTCACCTGGTAATAACATGTTCATTTTGTCTGTCAGACTTCACACGAGTTAAACTGAAGCATAGGTTCTGGTTTCTGTTGTCCGAGTATAATTATAATACTACGGTATTTACAGCTGGCAAACAGTTGACAAATAAGTGAGAGAGGCTTTCAAAAAATAAGTGAATAATAGTAGCTATATATCTACTTCATGCAAAGTAATATTTTCTGTACTACTCACTTTTGTATATTAATTTTCTTAAATAAGTAACGATGATAATAGCTACACATCTACTTCATGCAAAATAATACCTTCTGTACTAATCACTGTTGTATTTTCATTTTCTTTGCAGAGTATTGGGAAAGGGTCATTGTGGTGCATAGACCCGGAGTATAGACAAAATCTAATTCAGGCTTTGAAAAAGACACCTTATCACCCACACCCTCATGTGTTCAATACACCTCCCGCCTCTCCTCAGGCATATCAAAGGTAAGCAATTCAGATTTACTTTTTTTTTGTCTACTGAAGTTGCCTTATATTGGCAGAGAGTGGCGGTGAAACCAATTTAATAGACTGCATGCTTTTAAAATTAGGCAAATGAGAAAGAGAGAAAGTCTTATCGGAGGTACCTCTGCTGTTGTGTTTCTTGCAAACCTTACCGCTTTTGCTGCTTTGGAGGAATGGGTTTTCCGAAGGCTGCAGGGCGGGTGAGAGACTGCCTTCCAGGGTAGAAACATATACCAGGAAAAGTTGACAGCTCTGACTTCTCAGCGTGCCACAGTTTGTTGGAATAAAAGTACAGAATGAGCTGCGTAGGGGAGTCTGTCTTCCTGTCCTCTGACCCGAGTGCCTACAGCGTCCACTGCAGGACTCACCCCACTATTGTCGTTCTGGTCGCCATGTGGATGGGCTCCCGAGTGACGGTTCTGTTGTGGTTACTTGGTGTTTGCCTCTTCAAAGCCAAGCACAGAGAACCATGGATACATCTGTTCCCCTTCACATGCCCATTTGTGTTGCGGCAAGGAGGTCCCCGGTGCTGTTTCTACAAAGATATAAGTGGAGGGGAGATGTGTAGCTTGTTACTTTTCAAAGAAGTGTGATTAGTGTTAGATTGTGTGGTTTTTTAAAGCCACATAGAACAGAACCAACTTTTAAAATTGATTTTATCTTACATAGTGCTTGGCTTTGAAATAGAGCCCTCAATCCCACAGAAAGAATAATTTATTTATTTTATCCTCACCCGAGGACATTTTTCCATTGATACTTAGAGAGAGTGGAAGAGAGAGGGAAAGACAGGGAGAAACATCGATGTGAGAGAGACACACCAATTGGTTGCCTTCCACATGAGCCCCGACCAGGGCCCGGGCTGACCGAGGTATGGGCCCTTGACCAGAATTGAACCTGGGACCCTTCAGTCCACAGGCTGATGCTCTATCCACTGAGCCAAACCAGCTAGGGCAGTGGTCGGCAAACTGCGGCCCCTTGAGTGTGGCTCTTCCACAAAATACCACGTGTGGGCGCGCACGTACAGTGCGATTGAAACTTCGTGGCCACACTCAAGGGGCCAAAGAGCTGCATGTGGCTCGCGAGCCGCAGTTTGCCGACCACTGAGCTAGGGTAAAAGAATAATTTTTAATGTCTAGTAATGTTTCTGTTGTGACCATCCAGCGAAGAGAAATTATCCTTGGACTGCGGGTTTATGTCAATGAGAAATGGCATGACTTCATAGATTTCAGCAGTTTTGTGGTCCACGGCTCTGCAGATCCTTTCTCTAGCCTTGTGCTCTGCAGAAAGGAGCAGGGGGATGCTCGGAAACGGCGTTAATGAAGTTCCTGCGCATCTCAGTTGAGAGCATTCCATCACAGGGGTAGACAATCAGTCTTCAGCAAGAGACGGGGAGGAACAGCTGGGCTCTCTGAGAAGACTGCTGTATGTCTGCTTTTGCTAGGCGATTAGCGTGATGGTATCCATAGCAACCAGAGCGTCTCCATAGTAACGCGTAGCCGAGACAGGTGCAGTTGCATCACAAGGCTGTTTGTTGCCTGGCAAAAGGACAGGCCATTAGTACTTAGATATACGCTGTTGCCTTAGAAACAAATAACCTAACATAGCAACTACAGTAGGTTTGAAAGATTTGGGAGGGGAAGAAATGGTTGTAGCAGCTTCTGTCTGTGTTCATAAAAATCAGCGGAAGCATACTTGATTGGAAATGACAACTTGAGGTCACAGAGCTGTCGGAGATAGAATGGGATTTTCCCGAGCAACCCAGCCAACGTCGTAGAAACATCCAGAAGGACAGAGCCATATGCCTGGTTCTCTTCTGGTGGCTGTAGCCACTCCTGAAATCTGGAAGGGAACTGGGATCAGAGTGGAGAATCGCCGATATACAGGGTTGGTGGGGGAGGAGATGACACCAGGTATTGGAATATTTCCCAGATTCTCTTGTTCCTTCGTCATTCTACTCTCCCTACCCTCCAGACCTCACAGAATACTCCTTCCTCTATTCCCCACCTTGGACCTCGGAAGTATTTCATATCCTTCGGCTGCTGGGGGAAGTTAAGACCATTAAGTGTTATTCACTGGGTCATATCGTTGGTTCATTTAGACCAGTGTTTTGTTGCCAAGCGTGACCCAAGGGAAACATGGTAATTATTTAATAATTTGAAGGATTATAGCAGAGCTCTGGGGGTTGCAGGAGGGATGCACACTCAGGCGAGGCTTCCCGAGCTGGCCGGAGCCTAATGACTTCATTAGATTTTTAACGTAGGCATAAAAATGCAGACGAACCAGAGCTTTGTTAATGAAAATGATTCCAAACAATTACTCCAGATTCTGTACTGTCACCGCCAGCGCCTTGTCCCCCAGTTGACTGAAGAAAGAAAAAAGTTCCCATATTTACCCACCCCGGTACTTGGATTTCACCTCCATGAAGGTCACTGGATGTGGTGTGAGGTGACAGATCAGATTCTAACCGGCCTCTTCCATGTCTTAACTCTGTAAGAGCAAGTCACTTCTCTTTCCTGAGGACTGAAAGCCATTCGTGGGAGAGCTTAGGGTACTAAATACTGGATGACTGTACGATATTTGTATGACTTCTAATGAGGTGGTATTCAGCTCCATTCTAAGCCTCTGGCCACTTGTTGACGTGACTTAGGGAAGATGGAAATGGAGCAAAGTGAGTCATTAAACAGCGACCAGAAATGCCAACCAGACATGGCATGGCTGGGTCTCCTGTGTCAGCTCCGTGCAGGCTTGCTGTGCAGGGCACCTGGGAAATGCTCAGCTTTCACGGAGCTGGTACTTAGCATGTTGAAGATGGTGATTACGCTAGATGGGTGGTTATTGCTTGTACTCGCAGGTGTGCTTGGCAGGGAGCGCTCTGAGCCGAGCTGCAGGTGGCCAAACATTCTGCAGGGGAAAGGAGGGATCTGAAAACGCTGTCCCCACACTCTGTTCATGTCCGAAGTGCGTGCTCTCATTGCCAATGTACTCTTAGATGGTTGTTAGGACGTTCCTGCTGCTTTTGATACCACATTTATGCATTGTTTTTCATGGGAATGCAGAGTTCAATGACATTAGCTCCTTATTAGGTTGCAAAGGCTGCCATGGCAAAGCAACAGCTGAGTAACAACAGGCATTCATTTTCTTTCCCTTCTGGAGGCTAGAAGGTCAAGATCAAGGTGTCAGCAAGCTTGACTCCTTCTGAGGGCACATCTGCTGTTTTGCTGGCATTTTTTGACATTCGTTGGCCTGAAAAAGCATCACCCGGATATTCACGTGGTGCCCTGCTGGTGTGCTGTCGGTGCCCAAATTCCCACCTTTTGTCAGGACACTGTTCGTATTGAACGAGGGGCCCACTCTTACCCCAGTATGACCTCATTTTAGTAATTACATCTCCAGTGACTCCATTTCAAATCAGGTCATATTCTCAGGTGCTGGTAGCCAGAACTTGAACATGAATTGGGAGAGATGGACACAATTCAACCCATAAAAGCCCTTTTTTAAAGTAAGGCATTTTGCTGATAAAAAACATGGAGGAGAAGAAAGTAATGAAATGTTCAAAAACAAAAGGATGGGGCATGTCGGAGGGATACCAGAGCCACCCTGAAATTGCTCCCAATGGCCAAAACTGGGACAAGAAAACAAATAACATAGCATTGGGTTGTAACCCAAAATCCTCCTATATAATAAAAGGCTAATATACAAAGTGTCCACTTGGGAGTTTGACCTGGAGACTGGGAGTTCGATCACTCTCTATGACGTGCGCTGATCACACACAGGAGGCGGCGCAGAACGAAGATAGGCCCCAATTGGCCCTGATCGCCAGCCAGGCCTTAGGGACCCTACCCATGCATGAATTTTGTGCACTGAGCCTCTAGTCTATATATATAATAGGCTAAGTGACCGGCTGTATGTCCGACGTGCACTGGCAATTTAAAAATATTTCTTCTAATTAATTTCCTTTCAATGTGCATGAATCCATGCACCGGGCCACTAGTATGAAATAAATATCTCTGCGTCCACACTACTGTAAACAAATGACTGACTGATTGGCTGTAGAGACAAATTTCCCCTACAGAAAAATTCAGATGAGTTAGGTAGGCACTCCTCCATTCCAGGAGTTAGAGCTTAACCTTTACAGTATTAGATCAACGCCCTGTAAATAGCAGATATCCCATACCAATCTTCATGACAACAGATTGCTTTAAAAGGCACGTACGTATGTGCATCGTATGTGATACCTTCACTGGTATAGGCACCAATCCAAAATCAGTTTATTGAAAAAGCACTTTAATCATCTCTCAGCACAGGTGGTAACAGGTTTTACAAATTAATCAAACAGCATGGTTTGTAGTTTCCTGGATGGTCAGTTTTCAGAGAAGGGAAATTTAATGAAATCCATCTAATTTGGGAGACAGCTCAGCATCTCAGAAGCCTCTGGTCTGTGGGTCTGTGTGATGGGTCGGCCACGATTGGGCTCTAGATGACCATAAACCCTGGCTGAGGAGACTCCCCCCCTCACCCCATTGAACCTTCCGTTTGTTGTTTCAATATCTTCCCCCTAATAATGACAGACGATTTTATAGTTTGTGTAAAGTATAGTGGCCTAACATGTACGAAGTTAGAGAAATCCATAAGACTGTTGTTTGATCATCTAGATCTAAAAATTGATTTCTTGGATGACTTAAGGTTTGCCGAATCAAAACATTTCAAGAAAGTTTCTGTTGCTCTCCCTTTTATTTATTTATTTTTTGGTAAAGAAATTCTGGACATTTAAACTTATCATTTAGCTCTTTATGCCACTCTTTGCTTCTCCTGAGCAATTTAATGGGCCGCAAAAATAAAGAAAGAAGTAAGTAAATACCACCTCTCCAAAGATTTAGCCTTTCAGATATTGAGGGCCTTTGTGAAAAGGGCTGATTTTAGTGCTGACTCAGCAAAAGATTCTAGTTTATCCTGCTTGCCTTTCTGTTCATGTGCTGTGAGTT